TGGTGCTTCTGCAATATCCCTCAGAGGCTGCGCATTCCCACAGAACATGACAATAAAAACGGACAACATGACAATAAAAACGGACAACATGACAATAAAACATGACAATACAAGCAAAACGCAATTTCCTAACATTTGAGGTATTGCTCATGCTTCAAAGTCCGAATAGAAGGTGATGAAGATGACAAAGGCTAGAAATGAACAACAACGAATGTAGATGTAAATAAAACAAAATTGAAAAAAACTAAGGAAACGCAATAAATTAAAATCGCGTGTGCATTTCTGCGATCCGGCTCGAATCCGGCTCTAATGCTATAGAAATACTTCAAACTAACGAGTGGGACGCTTAGGCCGTTTTTATTTTGATGTTTTGTGGGAATGCGCGGCCTGCGAGGGCTGTTGCAGAAGCAGCACAGTTGCTCTTGAGTTCTAGCCCTCGTCATCATCTTCAGTTCTTATTTTGCAGAACCTAAAATGTTATCCGCATAAAGAAATTGCGTTGTACTTGTATTCCAAAGCGCAATTACAGGACTTGGCAAAAAGCCAAGAGAGCTGCACGCGACCGCGCCGCGCGGATGGTGTTAGTATAAACGTGAGTGAGGGCGGTGTAGCAAGGAATTACGACTTTCCCACGGCCCCGTACTCTGACCCCGTGCAGTTTTGGGCGGGGGGACCACGACACATCGACAGCTGGGGGGCTGATAGTCTCATACACCCTCAATGTGTTTGAGCGTACCATGTGTCTTTAAGGGCTTGAGGCATTCTGGATTCCTGCAGGAGATGGATAACGGAATGAGTTTCCTGCCATGCAAGTGACTTCTTGCCATTTGTACCTCTTTGAGAGTTATCGATGTGAATAGTGAGACGTGTAAGTCCTTACTATATTTGTTATCCATGGTGTATTGGGAACGATATGGAGATGTACGCAAATAAATGCAAAAATAACACTGCGCTTTTAGCTAGCTGTTTTATTCCGCAGGGTTTGTTTTTGAGGGGAGGAGGAGAGTTCATGGAGTAATCCCTTCTGTGAATTTTAGATTTGGAAGGTTTTATGGGAGCTGGCCGCGTGAAAGCCTCTACTACTCTACCTCTAGCTGCTTGTCACGTAAAGTTTCGCGACAAGGGGATGAGAACTGGGTTAATCAGTATCTGGAAACATTATGGCTTGGAAAAATTGCCAGACTGGATGACCGCCAGTTTCACGAAGCCCATACAGTCACTGTACCGCATCTTGGTCCAAGTCGTGTGCTCGGTGCGTCGTAGAAGAGTAGCTGGAGTCAAATGTGCTACCTCAGTTCTGACTAGTATGGTAATTTCTTCTAGAAAAAAGAAAACAATCATCTCGCCCGCAAGGAAGAACGTCGGATTGTCAGGAATCTAAGCACCGTTTGTGGTGACGATTAAAAGCTGGCTAAATGCGTTTCTTATAGGAGTATTGCGAATGGAGTATAGGACAAGCGGCAGTTCGAAAAGAATATTTATTATTCATCCACTATATTATGAATTTAGTCATCGAAAGAAAGGCAATAGTCATTGAATTGATCGGGTAACTTGACAGTATTGTAGGAACACATTTATTTGCTCACATGTGACGTCTGGGTAATAGAGGCGAATTAGAGCGCAATTTTTGCCGGCAAACGACGACACATCATGGATGCCAAATTTACTTCCGACGCTTCTTGTCTCCTCGCATAACTTCACCAGCTCCTCTTGTGAGTAGGTATTTCCCGACTTCTCGTAAATCGGCTGAACACATGCATTTAAATCACAACATTTATATGGTCTCTAAACTGCATTAAATGGACTTTTAACGGAGAGTGAAATTGCAGGGCACGAAGTTTTTCGGAACGATTCACTGCATGCTGTAGAGATAAATCTGTGAACAATGAAATTTTGATTCATTTTTGTTGTTCTGTACTGGGAATGTCAATAAAGGAGGAGTTCCGCGTGCTCACGACGAACTCTGCAATAAGAAACTTGTTTTAAGGACAAAATTCATGTGTTCTTGGACAAGTTTTTGCTCAGACAAAAGTTCCAGACTCAGACGAACAAAAGAGAATAATTCATACTGGAGTACTTGTCGTTTTATTTGTTTGTTTTGTTTTAGCCCTATTGGAATTCGAGCCGTAAACCTATTGTAAACTATTGTGATACTCTGCTTTTCAATCGACTTTTTTTAAAATCTCCAAACACCCTCGAGAACCAAGTTACTGAATTTAGTGGGAAGCACCGCCCGTACCAAGTGCGCCCGGCCCACTTCGTGTGAGTCTCCCTAAATCTTCTATCTAGCCCTTGCTAACCTTAGCCCACTTTTTCTCTATATCTGAGCTGCGAACCGACTTTTTCGCCGACTATATACTCATCCGCTCGTCAGTCGGCGAAAGAAGCTTTGTCGCAGCTGAGGTGGGGGGGGGTCGTAACGACGGGAACAAAGGGGGGGGGGTTCGTGGCCCTGCGCGACCCATTCGGAGGGGGGGAGGGGTCGTACCTCCACGACCGACATTTTCGCCTATCCCTATGCTGTACCCTGCGTAGAACTGAATTCGCGGATAGACAAACGAACAGAGGTAGCAAATCCTACTATAAACGGCAACATCTGTCTATCTGCCTGTTTGTGTTCTGACCGAAAATTCGGCACCACCTAAAGAAGCCAGTTCGAGGAGTTGGGTGAAGGGTGGGTTTGGTAGGGCATGGACCAAGAAGTACGGAACACACATGAACTGATCTAAGCCCCTATTCACGCGGGCGCGGCGTGCGCGCAGACTGGAGCTACTTTTTCAAAAATTCGTGAGTCGGTTCCAGAAGTGTTCGGAGAGCGGAAAAAGTGGGGAAGATATTAAATGGGTAGTCGCGAGGAATGAGGGAAGAACATTCACATTGGGTGGGGCGTGCCATATAAGGGCGGTATTGGCTACAGAAGTTTAGGGTTCAAGTCCTGAGTCGACTCCTCGCCCAAGCCAACCAAGCCTTCTACCCTCCGGGAACGGTAAATTGGTACCAGATTCGTCTGGGAGGATAAAACACTGACTTGTACATCGGCTGGCCACCGCAAGTCATCTGCTGTTATGAGTTCAAGTTTGGAGTTCTCGTTGCCCTTTTCAGAGAAATCCACTACATTCTCTTTTGTAGTTTTTACAGTTTGACAGCAAGTGGTAGCCGCTCATGCACACTCGTCTACTTTCATAAACACGTTCCATTGAAGTTAAGCAATGTTATGGTCAAAAAAAACAACCGATAATATTTCTGACTCCTAACCAGTGCCGTCACACGAGGACGACATTCACATTTAATGACTCTTCTTATGAAATGATATGCTGTAGATTGAAACACCCGTTTTCTCAAAATTATGAATGCACATGAGAAACAAAAGGAAGTAATTTCCACTTTTTCAAAACATATCCAATTGGTCATTCCGTCTCACCTCGAGTGTGACGACCTTTTCTGTGGTAACTGGTGGTGGTGGCTGATCGTCGACAACGTATTGCTAAATAACTCTGATTAGGGACCGTAAGCTGTGTTAGGTACTAAACCGAAACACTACTATAAACCATAAGTTGTACGTATGTATACACATATAGATGTATGTACACATGTGTGTATATGTGTAGCATGCACACTAACGAAAGCAAACAAGAAAAATCTGGAACGGGCTGAAGAACAGTTCTTCTGACGCTTTCAACCCGTTTAATCAACTGTCTACCAAGAAACAATTATCAAAAATAATCGGAAAAACCACGATTTCCCCAATGTGTGACAACTTTTATTCCCCGTGACATCGACTCCGCAAAATGTTTGGGTGTGTCCACAGGTATCCAAGTATATTTTCCTTGTACCTTCTGTAATACCTCATCTGGGTGGCTACAAATTTCAAATACATTTCATCAGTGACGATTGTTGCGCTTCTGCATAAGCAGGGCTTCTGTTGCTTATGGAGGAAATCCCTTTAAAATGAAGGTCGATGCTACGCAAAGAAAAAAATTGACTTCGTGTTGAACTTCCATCGTGAAGCTTTTATGATCCATTAAAGAAGTCGTGATGCAAACAAGTAGTAGTTGAAGTAGATTGAAGTTATGTAACCGTACCGAGCGTGCCTCACGTCTCAGCCGACCGGTCTGCTATCAAATGGGCCTACAACGATCGGTGGTTAAGTGTGTGGCTGCCTATGCACTAAAATCTAGTAAAATGTGGTCCTCAATCCGTTTGTCCCCGGTGCCTATGCTGCTCTGCAACCATTCGTAAATTTCTGAGTCTCTTTTCGCCCACTTCGACACATGCCCAGCCCACATGAGCGTGCCTATCTTCCTACTATATACACTGCGTCTCATAAGTATAGTTCCACCTACAAATCTCACAATGTCCCGCTCTACACGACGTTTTCGAAAAAGCCTTTCGATAGAACATTTGATTACCAGTGCCAATTTGCATGCCAACACCGAGAATTATTAGGTTGTCCGGAAAGTTCTCAGTGTTTTGTGTTACTATTTTTTGTACATTCACTGCTGATTAAAAACTCATTCTCCCTTGCGTCTCAGTAGTACATCCTGAAGAGAATTTTTGCGCTATCTGATGGTATAATTGCCGTTTCACCATTGCTTATAAACCCCCTTTTCCCAAGACTTTTCGAAGTGTCAAAAGAGCAACTGCGGACGATTTTCTTTTCTCTCGACTGATGATTGGGTCAATCCGCATCGAGACAAGCTCAACAAATTAAACCAGGTCGTGGGTCCCCCCAATGAGCTGTTGGAGAAAGAACCGTGCGACAATGTATTCGACAAGGATTGAGCTTGTTTTCGTTCTGGAGATTTTTCAGGCCTTGAAGGATGAACACTCGTAGCGGTCGACCTAGCAATACCTGACGAGGATTTGAAGGCGTTTGTGGAGGCTGACCCATCCCAAACAGTTCGAGAGATTGCAGAAAAGCTAGGCGTTGGCAAATCCACTGTTGCGGATGGTCTGAAACGCATTTGGAGAAGGCAAAAAAAGCTCGAACAACGTGGGTGCCACACAATTGAGGGCAGTGACCGGCAGAAAATTGGCACGCACTGCGACGCTTTCTTCTCTACTGCTTTGCGCACAGAAACGACCCGTTTTTGGACCGAATTGTCACCTGTGATACAAAAGTGAGATCATGTATGATAACAGGAGACGTTCGGACAGTGGTTGGATGCCGACGAACCACCGAGGCAATTTCCAAAGCCGAATCCTCACGAAAAAAAGATTATGGTCACAGTGTGGTGGTCATCGGCTGGTGTGATCCACTATACACTCGAAATCCCTGAGATGAGGTAGGCGTGGCTGCGTACTTCAACTAAACGTCGTGGTGGCTGTGCTCTTGGAAAGACATTTTCATTTTGACCCAAATGTGGTCACGTCTTTTTCCAACAAAGAACAAGATGGCGGTTGTCTGAAATTTAAATATCCCACGAGTAACCAGTTCCGTGCCATGTTCGAATGCCACGCCTACCCCGTCTCAGGGATAAAGAGTATAATTTTTTGTCACCAGGCCAAACCATCACAGCAGAGTCCTACTGTGAAGAAATCGACGAAATGTACCGAAAATTGCGTCAGCTGCAGCCAGCACTTGTCAACAGAAAGGGTCCGATTCTTTTGCATGACAACGCCCGCCCACACGTTTCACAAATCACTATCCATAAATTGAACGAATTGGGGGTTGAAGTTCTACCTCACCCGCCATATTCTCCATACGAATTTCAGTAACCGACTATCACCTTTTAAACATTTTCAGAACTTCCTTGGTGGGAAAATACTTCTTCAATCGGGACCTCTTCAATCAGGACCAGCCAAAAAAGCATTCGTGGATTTCGTTGATTCTCGACCAACCAGTTTTTTCTTTGGTGGGATTTATTGACTGGTGGAGCTTTGGCAAAAGTGTGCTGATTCGAACGGTGCTTATATCGATTCCGATGAGCATTAAGAAAGTTATGATCGTTTAAGTGGAACATTCAAAACGCTGAGAACTTTCCGAACACACCTAATTAACTTTCCAGAGCAAACCTTCAATCTTTCGTATTTTTGACAGTTCTCCTTTGACAATGTCGCCGAAAAGTATAGTTCCATGTTTTCCCTCATGTCTCTTTTCTTTTTCAGGGTAAAACTGTTTTGCTGATTCACAACCTTCAATTAGTATATTATAGAGCCAGCCTACAGACGTGCAATGTAACATTACATTAGCCAACTCAATGGTACTCCCAAGATAAGCACCCCTTGAAATCATACCGCAGGCATGACCTGGCGGTATCGTAAGTGTGTCATTGAGTAGATACTCTATAAATTCCCGTTGGCGCGGTGCGCTCTTTTAACTCTTATTTTAAGTACCGCCATCGGTACGATACCTACACCGCATATAAGCCTACTTTTTAGTGCATTTATGTCGGTTATACGGTTCGGTACGAGCACGTCGTAATAAATATTTACACGTGCAAGTGCTTTCATTGGTAAAACATCAAAACTGTCTCGTCATCATTGCTTTTCACCTTTTCCAGGTTATGGCGAAAGGACATTCATTGTCGGACTTCGGAAAAGATTATCGCAAAGAAGGCTCAAGGATGT